CGAGATGAGCAGTGATGATCAGTGCGATCCAGCTGACTTAAGGTCGGAGAGTCGTGCTTCCACAACCAACGGGACTTTGTATCTCCGCCATTACCGGTAGTATTGGTTTATTTGTGGCGCGCGGTCAGCGGATGGGTACCATTTTCCTAGGGGCACTACAGTATCTTTATTCATGCATACCTATGTGGCTATGATGATGATGAGGATGGTCTCTTAGGTACGTCTTTCGGGATCTAGAGAATACTGATAAGGATGATAGATGCGCCCTACAGGAGATAGGTCCTCGGTTTACTCTCAAGCTGAGGTCTCTACAGCTCGGCCTTTTCGCCAAACGTAATAGGACGCTATTGGATAGTCGTGAGCATAGTATGCATTAGTGTATGCGGCAAAATGGCATGATACTCTGTCCGCATACTCGAAATGGTTCAGTTTGTTTTGGTACCAACTAGACAAACATAGTTTTTTGGTGGGGATGTTCCCCTGGTGCAGCGGTGTCGTGATATGTTTTTCATTGTGCGTTGCTGGTAGGTACTGGAGAGTATGAGTATGTGTGGAGGCCTGACTCCCAAGTTAGTAGGAAGGTCTTCGCTCTGTAGTATCTCGAATCACATTACCAACGTCTCTTCTGCGCTTTCGAAGGTGCCGTGTTATTAGTATTAGATGATAGTACCGATTTGTCCTGGGAAACTTCTGTATGAGGAACAACAGAGCTGGATGGGCTTCCGTGGGAAAGCCTCTCGGGAGGGATCTAGCTGATCACGTAAACCCCACTCTCGAAGAATCCGAGATCTGAATTTCGTGGGGAGGAGGCTCAGATGATTTCTGATTGTTGTTGTTGTTGTTCAGTTTAGTTGTGACGGCCAAATCCTCTGCGACGGGGTTCCTGTGGGCAGTTGGAATTCTCATCCGAGTTCGTTACGGCAGCGTTGAGAGTATCCGATGGTGCGGTATTGGCTGTAGGATGTATGACAGGTGTCACTGATCACACCAAGCATATTCTTTCCGATGAAGCTGTCCGGGTATGAAGTAGGAGCTCCATGGATTGGGTAGGGTATGTGCGCTCGTGACGCTTGTGGTTCTCATCGGGGTCGTAATGAGTTTATCTCCACTATATAGGCTTGTTGTGGAGCTCATACTGAATCATGTGGACACTAAATTCGAATTGAGATGAATCAGGAAGGCGTTTAAACTGGCGAAGCTGATACAGTGGTAAGTACGCTATGCAGGAGCTTATGGGGTGGAATGAGGACGACTAAGTCGTATATCCCATTCGAGGTAATCTCACTTACACCAGTGTACCAGTTCGTATTTACTCACAAGTACTACGTGAAGGCTAATACGGAGGCCTTCCGGAGTAGTGGAGCTGAACAGATCAATAAGCCTTATGGTTTGTCAGCCGTCTTCGGTAGAGTCGCTGAGGAGGGCTAAGGCTTGCAGCCTTATGAAATGAGTGGATACGCGAGGAGGTTAGCATGGAGAATGTGGGATGACTTCACGTAAGGCGTAGCGGCGTAAGTCGTCATTCAACACGCCCACAAACTCACGCACACATATACCTGCTCCTGAGAGGGACCTCACCTGCGATTCGTCCCTTCAGGCATCAGTGGCATCAACTGTCAGCGCTAATCAATGATCAGAACTATAACTATGATCACTTATGGACGATCGCTCGTGAGCAGTGGTCTGTGGCCTTATTGTGCGGGCCAGCCTCATTCTGTCTCTTCCAGTGCTCAGTGTACTTGCGTGCAACAATCATGGACGCATTTTATGTTTCGACCCTCGACACTAACTCTGGTGATTTGAGGACTACCAGTCGTAACTTACAACTGGCTAGGGCGATAGCGTATGATGCGACATACAACGTATGTCATACGTATTCGCAACGTTCATATTTCCAATCTTACCTCGTTAAAATGATTATGCGCTGTGCCCTCCACGTTTTTCGGCTAGCGCGGCGTAGGTGGGAAATATTGACCTTCGTGTGTGTGGAGATCTCTAAACGCAGATCGCGGATTCTTGCTTCCTCCTGTTGACTCAGCAATGTTGGGGGTGTTTGTGTTCGTTGTTGCTGTATTATGCTGAGCCTCCCTTCTCCAAGCGTCACTTGCCGAGGTCGGCGTATGCTAGCATGTATCCTGCTAGCGTATGTATAGGTAGCGTATATCATTGTTTCGAGTACGGGTGACCCGCTTGGGAGAGGAAGTTATTGTGTGATAATGATCAGGAGACTTCCTCTTGGTGGGACTGCCGCGATCGACCGGAAATGAGTCTGAACTAGTACACAGAGTCGAGCACTATGGTGGCTAGTATTTGTCTAACTGTATTGTCTCATAGGTTTATTTCCTACGGGTTTCAGCATGCCATCCGAGAAACCTTACTCGTGGACTGATCGTACCGGCAACACTTATCACTACTTCGAGAATCCTATATGGGTCGCTTGCATATTCATACTAATGCAAGAATTCTGTGAGAGATTGGCGTTTTATGGCCTTACTCCCAACCTGCAGCTCTTCCTCAAGGAGTATCTTAACTATCCGGATACGCAAGCCGACTCGTACATCTCTACCTTCAATGCTGTGCTGTATGTAACGCCACTTCTGGGAGGTATTCTGGCTGACACTTTTACAGGAGTCTACTTCACTATTCTTGGCTTCTCGCTCCTCTATATGCTGGGCCTAATTATTCTCACCCTCTCATCAGTTCGGTCAATCAGCGAGCCTTGGATGATACATCTCTCACTGTTGGGGCTCATCACGGTCGGCGCTGGTGGTATCAAAAGCTGCGTTAATGTTATGGGTGCGCAGCAAATGCACCCGGAGGAACACAAAGAGTTGATTACGCGATTTTTCACTTATTTCTATGCTTCTATTAATTTGGGTGCCATTATTGGAGGAATCGTCACACCAATTTTGCTGCAGCAAGTTAATTTCACGGCTAGCTTTGCCTTCCCATTAGCCTTCTTTGTGGTGGCTACTATAGTATTCGTTCTGGGCGATTTCATGAATCGCTATGTTAAGGCTAAGCCGCAAGGATCTGCTGTGTTAGAGGTATGTAAGGTAACGGCATTTTCCATTGCTCGGTGCTCTGTAAACAAGAACAAGGAAAGCCAGGGAGGAAAATTTAAAGATGATTTTATTGAGGACACGAAAGTATTCTTTTATTTACTACCATTATTTGCTCTAATTATCCCTTTCAACATGGCATACAATAACATGACTACTGCATTCCTCACTCAAGGATTTAAGATGGACCGTAACACTTTCGGTTGGGATATGCCAGCGGCTCTGATGCAGAACGTGGATCCTATAGCAGTCGTAGTGGTCTCTGTTTTGGTGGACAGAGTGCTCTATCCCTGGCTGCGTAGACATGGTAAGATGCCACCAGTGTTGGGGCGATTCTGTATTGGTTCACTACTGGGTGGGTTGGCTCTGGTTTCTGCTCTAATTGTGGAGTATGTTGTCATGGCTGAGCCTTTATTCACCGTCTCTATCTGGTGGCAGATCCCTCAGTTCTCCCTGATAGCTGCTGGTGAAATTTTCCTCATCTCGACGAGCTATGAAGTTGCCTTCACGCACGCCCCGCCAGAGCTCAAGGCCGTTGCCTCAGCTGTTAACCTATGTTTCATGGCAATTGCTAACAGTCTATCGGCAGTACTCTTCCAAGTCGCCTCTCCGTGGCTTCCCAACTTCGATCTCGACCATCCTCATGAGTCAGTTGTCGGCGCCCATTATGACTATTACTACTACGTGCTCATAGGCTTATGCATTGTGGGTGCTGTCTGTTGTTTGCTTATGTTACCCTACTATCGTCGTGTTTACGCTGCTGTTATTGCTCGACAAAAACCAGATTCACAACTAATTGCAGATGACAGCAAGCAGTGATGCACTTGAGTCCCAGCGATGAAATAAAAACATAACAACTTGATAACTTGAAATAACGAGTCTTGAAAATAATCGTCTTCCATGCATTCCTCTCGAGCTGCGAAAGTCAATAGGAACTGACGTTTACATTTAGTTCGTGACTGAATGGCTAATTCTTTTATGCTCAAGCATTCTTGTTATCATCATTTCTGTCGTTGTCTTCGTTGCTGTCGTTATCGTCGTTGTTATCATCATCGCTGCAATATTGTTTGCGGGATTTAATATCAGAATATTGATCTATTGTGGGTTGAGTTATATAGGAGCCCAGTACAATGACGATGTCCCAATGAATTGGGATCAGGGAGTACTCTCGTTGGTCCAGCCGAAACCACGCGAAGTAAATCCAGGCATCGTACATTTCCAGTTACTTCATAACGATCATGCATTTGCTGTCTAAACATTTGCCTCGCACTAGTTCTTCGAGCTCGTTAACGTTTTGCCAGAATTCTCCTGTGGTGTGTCCCCTGTTAAATGCTACCACCGAAAACGCGGTCTTCACCGGGTTTGTCGCTGCGCTATGTGATAGCCATGATGCTTCTACACTATAGTTGTTCACTACTAGTGGCTTGGGTCAACAAACTAGCGTTTCTCGAAGGCTTCAAATGGACTACTCTACTCACAGTCGTCAGCAACTTGTTCATTTTCTTCACGTTTGAGTTCGCATCTCGGAAAGGAATCATTCGAGGAGAGTCACTCCCTTTCCATAAAGCCCTACCAGTTTCGCTGGCTTTCTGTGGTTTTGTGGTATTCAACAGTCTCTCCTTGGGCAGCAACGATTCTGGCGTTTACGAGATGAGCAAGGTCTTGGTCACGCCGGCCATCTTGATAATGCACAGCCTCCTCTATACCATCGCTATACCCTCTGGTCAAGGCATTGCTCTCTTCTCAATGGTCATCGGCATGACGCTAGCTACAGTCTCTAGCTTCAACTTCAACGCGTTCGGCACTCTCTGGGGTTTGCTTACTATCATTTGTGCATCTCTGTATCAAGTGTTGATTTATGTAACGTTGAGGCAATCGGACTGCAGACCACTACAGCTCCTACACTCCCAATCTCTAATTTCCGCGATACTGCTATTTATGATCATGCCCTTAGTCGAAGATGTCTCTCAACTTTTGGCTTACACTCCGTCATTTCCTGCCATTTTGCTCGTGGCCTTTTCTTGTGTTCTCAGTCTTGTTATCAGCGCAACTATTTACATCATAATCTCCGAGGCGTCACCCATTTCCTACAATGTACTATGCAATGGTGAAATCTGCTTGGTTCTCTCTGCTGGCTATCTATTCTTCGGCGACCCCTTGACAATCAAGTGTCTAGTTGGTGTTGTCGTTGCCGACCTCTCGATCGTTTGGTTTGGCTATTCAAAACTGAGAGGAGTTGATGCATTCCCATCCGGGCAGCTTTCGAGAAGTCAATACTCTGTCATAATTGCTCCGTAGTTGTTCTGGAAGGTGTGTTGCGTATTTCAAAACAGACTGACGTTTTTCGAGCAGATGGCTACATGATTTATGGAACCGTGAAGTTTGCCTGCGATCGGCCTAGTGTCAGTCTGACGCAGGCGAATTCTGACGATGTCAGCTGACATCGATACGGACACCATTAGGTGCAATCTCGAAAGTGGGGTAAGAGGGACCTGTAAAACGGGATTTCAGTACACAACCAACAGGAGGCGCACTGAGGCTTCCCTTAAATTCTTTGAGTATCCGGAGCTCTCTAAGTATGAGAATCTACCCCGAACTTGACTAGGAAGAGTCGGGGGACTCCCACGTGGACAGCACCCGACCGTGCTATACACTAAGGTCGATAATTCGGAGCAGCAGGAGTGTTGAATTGAGTGTAGCGGAATTATCTAGAATCAATTTCCAGACTCTCGGCCGTCATGATGAGGCTGATTCGGAATACCGCCGTAATGTCCTACAAAAAGCATTCGAGAGGACGCTCGTCGTTCCATATTATAATCTTACGACTACCCAAGCGTATTCTTCATCCCTTACGTTCACCCGCGTCCTCAATTTAGATGAATGCGTTCCCTTCCATCGAGTGTCGAATGTTTTGATAACCTTTGCAGTAAAAGCCGAGAATAAGTCCTTGTCAAGTAGACAGTAACCAACTTCTCTCGGGAGACGGAGCTCCGTCACTTCTGGCAGCTCCTCAACGCTTTCCATAACCTTCTTGTCGACTATTATATAGACGGTCCTGTAAGGATGGAATCTGAATCAATAGAGATCCCTACGCTGTAGTGCGCCTCGGTGCCACTACTTCACCAGTCCTTACTTGGGCGAAGAAACAGCTGTACATAATGAGTCGGTTTCTGCTGTCCAATATCGATCTGAGCTTGGCCCTTTTTCTCAGCAACATTTTTGTCCGCAGTTCAGCGGATGTAGGTCACCATCACAAAATCGCCATTAGGCAACTCCCCCTTTGCTCGTACACGACGACGGCATGTGCCTGTGGTGTGATTGCTCAACACGATGGTTGTCCGAGTCTACTACTAACCATAAATCCTGTTCCTTCTTACATTAGTTGTGATTCATCCGAAGGCCAAGCAAAGTTGTGTTAGCGAGAGATCAGCCCTGACCTCCTTTTCGAGGAAGCCCCCAAACTCACTGTGCGCAATGAACTCATTATCTGCCGTCAGAACCTTAGAGTCGTCATCAATAGAGGCAAGAGTCCCTTCAAGAATGCAGAAGACCATTAGTACGATGGTGTCGATAGTACGTCGTGTGGATAGCACCATCATATTCCATGGATTGCTAAGACTCAATAGTGCCATCGAGCTCAGTGTGAGAGACAGCGGTTATGGTACGTCGGATTACTTTAATGACGAGCACTGAGTGTGCTGGCTAGGGTGGAATCAGTACGTTCGAGATTTGGCGGCGAGCGAGCGCACGTTGTTCTGTTGCGTACTGCACCGCGCGCGTTGTTGACCTATACCCTGTTCATGCTCGGATTGCCTAGAATGACTTGTAGAACGCGAGAGACGATGACAAAGGACCGCGCACTACTGCAAAATACGACGTGTGACCAGCGTCAAGTCTCATGCCTCAACTGATCTGCAGTCTCCTGTACGTCGATTAGAGAATAGCAGTTCCTGCTGTCAGGGCCAACGTCTCCAACTGAAACGCATTGCCATTGAACAGTATAGCCAACAAGTTGTGTCAACATAAGAAGACAATGAGGAGTTGCCCTTTGAGAAAGGAGACCCATAGCTGACTCTGAAGCTCCTATGTATCGAGTTTCCGCTCTTCTTCCAACACCATCTGATCGATGCTGATCCCTATTATACGGCGTCGGTGACCAAATGATGAAAGTATCAGTTATGGATAACGCGGCATAGGGCTGATACGTTGTGAGAATGTGGGAGCACCCATAGCTAGCACTACTCCGTACCTTTTATGAGGGAGGAAGGAGTTGCCACGAGTTCTACTACCAGCCCGTCACTAAAACTCAACATGGCACAAACAGGAGGTAATCGTCTCATCAAGAATCAGCCGTAGTGCCTTCTGAATTCGATGGAGACGACACATCTTCTACCTTCATTTGCAAGAACTTGTCCACAAAGTTGATCTGAGACCAAACGCCACCTCTATCACCCCAACACCAGCTTGGTTACCTCTAAGTTCAATGCTCGGCACTTGTCCATCAAAGCCTTATGCCGCGCATCTAGAGCGACAAGCAGCTCGGTGATGCTCATCTGAGGAGATGAGGTTCATACCATCCAGATCAATGTCGAGTTTCCGCACTTACATGGGCTCTACATAGCTTCTCGAGTTGCTCAGCATTCATGCCCTCAACAATTTGCTCTGGTGTTGACCCTGAGTATTGCACAGTGCAGTCAGACATGACCGTCCCTTAGGACTCACCGCTCCTCACGAAAGTCTCCAGCGCCGTCATCAGAGAGTCCATATCACTATCGGCCTTCCGTAGCTCAGCCACAGGAGGCACTCCTGCCATTGAACCGTCCTGAGTACATACAGATGAGGCAATCTCTCCAATACCCGCAGCTCACTGAGAGAACCAGATCTATCGCCGATTCGAGAGCGCACGAGTCCGACACCAACGCAGCTGATGGAGCACATTTTCTGAGTGCGTTCATCGTATCTAGGACCGAGTAAGAATGGGTATGATGATGATAGTGGGAGTAAGCGGCTACGTATCGCTGCCTCAATGAGAGGGGTTTCCTCTCCGAAAGCTTGGGAGTCTCTCCACCAGCATATAGACAGGTAGATGTTCTGTGCTACATCGGGTGTCTGATACATCAGAAGGTCCCAGGATCGACGCTCACAGAGGGCATATTACCCTTGCATTATGATACACTCCTACTATACAATCCTCTAATATGTCGACTAGGCACTCCTTGAGTGAAGGGACTTTGTTCTGTGGTAATAGAGTGGCACCGGACGTACCTACTTCAGAGCTCATTAGAGCCATATGACGGAGTCATAGTCAACTTCACGCGAGGACGGTACATAGTAAAACAGTCGCCGGTTCTACCTTGTGGTTGTACGACATCTCCAATAGCAGCAGCGGGATGCTCATAGAGTGCCTTAATCAACTTCAGACAGCCTAGGGAGTTGCTTTCGTAGCCGCTTATTGTACTCCGACAATACCTGATCATCGATGGAGCTTCTACATCGCGGCAATAGCGAGAAACATTAGTCTAGTCTACTTATCAAACTCGAAATGGATTTTCTTCCATAAAAAATAGTTTTGCAAACTACTTGATATTCAGCTAGTCGAACAAGTGTACAAATTATAACAGCCAGCCTTCACTATAGAAGGAGCCTAGGCCTCGCTGAAGTCCATTCCCGTCCCCACAGTGGACAGCGACTGTGTCAATGCTACACACGAATCCAGACACATCCTTGACCGTAGTACTCTCGTATCATATATGATATCGGCGCCATCAGAGAAGCAGGCAGCGTAAGTATTCCCTCCAGCAGACACTCTAGCACAAGAGAGATTACCACAAAGCACGACCTTCGGCAATACCTATCATCGTGGAGTCATCCTCTAGACGCGCCATCTCTAATCGTACACACTCGATGACGTCGAAATCGGACATCCCACAAGTGTGATTAAATCAATCTGACGGATCGTATCTGCTCAATACGCAGTTCCGGCTGTGTTCGAAGGTGATTATCGGAGCACAGCTGAGAGCTCTATCAGAATGAGGCTCCCTGTCGTTTACTCCTCCGATCAGCCATCACTTACTAGTCAACGCAACATCAACACTACTGTGATGAGAAACAAGATCATATGATCGGTACTTAGTCATGTGTCGGTTATTCACTAACCACAGTCGTAAATTACGATTATGGTTACTCGGAGCATCCGAATAGACGAAGACCCATACTGCATGAGTTGATTCCCACCTCCGGAAGTCCTACCTACATGCTCGGGCTGAACTTTTAAGCAGCGTTCACGGATGACTTCTCGTAATCGCCACTGGAGAGCCATACTGTATCCGGAAGCTGCAGAAATGAGCTCAGCAGGCGCTGCTGAAACATCCTAGTACAGTTCCGCCAGATAAAATTGTTCAGTGCTAATCTGGACTATTTAGAGTGTGAATATCTGTTCGAGGCTGGGCTAATTATACCAGGAGTTTGTAGAGCTGACGAAAACTCCGAGAGACAGCTCCTACTTCGACGAAAACAGCGTTTCAGACTACTTTCAGCCGCGTGTTGATTTACTCCCATTACAAATCTCTTAAACAAGTCATGTTCTAATGACTTTAGCCTCGCTCAGATATTCACACTTTAAATGATGCAGATCAGCCCTGGACAGTTTTACTCAACTATATATGCCTATGAATTAGTCTAGCGGGAAACAACTCATTAGACGAACTCCGACGAATACACACATAGATGATAACCAACGTCGTACTACGTCCACGTGCGTTATGTCATTTATAGCCGACTGACAATGAAGCTCTAAGCCCAGTTGTATTCCATAGTATTATACTACGTTCCGCCTTGGATACAGGGCAGACAGCGGAACATACTTCATCCTCATCAGATATGGGGACACACTTCAACGGTGCTGCCATCCACTCTTCCTCGTGAGACTTGGAGACCATGGAAACGTGAGGAGTTCTCACTGAGGACAGTAACATGCGGCGCAGAATGCGACAGATGGCATCCATCCTTGTCTACGCGCCTCACGTATTTTGGTAGAAGTGCGGAACATATGTAATTTGCGCAGCTAACATCGTAGATCACGCGTTAACGTTCATCTTAACCAGCGAGAATTTCCTATCCGATGTGTGAGGGTGTTCGAGTCGTGTAACACAACAAGAAGAAATAAATCACAATGGCATGATACAATTTGCATTAGCCTCCACGACAATATGATAGAACATCTAACCACGTCTTCAGTTAGTGAAGCAACACCGTGCGCATCATCCAGACTCGGCCCTTCATGCATGAATAACATCAGACTGAGAACTACGCCACTATCGACTCGATAATGGCAAAGGAGCATCGATGCCTATAACACACGGCTAAGTTGACCACGACCCGGCCCCCATAGGCAGTCGGAGGAGGCGAGGGAGTCTGGGCTAACTAATAGACCACAAAGGATGTCTCCTCTTTGGGGAGTCCTCTACCAAAAGCAGCGTGGTGTATGGTCGATAATGTAGGGATCGCGCCCTACGCGCTCGCCCTTGTAATCGTTATCGTCTGATCACTTATATTCGCTCGCCATCGATCGCGCTATGCACGTATGCGCACTGTGTGATCATGAACTAAGGATAAGTAGAGTTACAACTCCTTTTTGATCCTTCTCACTCGGCTGCCCTTCCACGAAGGTCTGCCCTTGTTGTGAAGTTCGACTACGCTATCCACTGAAGTCTGGCTACTAGTTGTGTTGCCCAGTAACAGGCACAACAATAATATGGTAAATCGTCGGAGCTATCAGGAACAGAAGCGGTATTTTTTACACATCGATAATCGTTCGACAGTCCAACTCCGAATAGTATCGTGACTTCGAGAATTGTGAACATGTTCTCAATCTCGTAGTTTGTATTCCTTTGCGGTTATTCGTGCGCGCCTTGCGCCGATGCATTGCGGTAAAATGCCAACAACGGCAAACGCCCTCGGCCTCACCCCTCTTCGAGGCGACTGTGATCCCCTGCCGATCTTTGAAGACCAAGACCCTTCTTTGTTGGAAGGTCAACGACGGCATCTCAACGAAATGTCTGCCAATCTGATTCAGAATATGAGTCTCGAGAAGGCATCCGCCGCTGACATTCGTCGGGCCCGTAATTTGACACTTCTCAGTGAGCTTTATGAGGAGGCTGCTGTCGCCTACGATGATGGTGACAAAAAGAAGTTACTCGATTTGATTGCTACTGCTGAAGATCTAGTCGGCAGCGGTTCCCTGTATGACCGACAGCCAAGCGATGATATTGTTACTGTGGATTCAATGAGGGTCCTTCCTGAGGCGGATCACTGAGGATGACGCTACGTTATACACAGCTCTCGACGTACACATCCTAGCTGCATGCTTTCTTGGGCTCTCTCATTCCTCCTGTTCTTCTGATACTGTATCCTCTATTGTCGCGAACTCTGAGAAGCTCGCAATAGTCTGGTTAATGCAGCAATGCTGGCCAGAGTAAATTATCTCCTTCCTTCTCTTTCTCTCTCCCTTGGTTGCCCATTACTACGAATCGCGGTGGCGACGCATCGCCTTAGTAGCCGTTTCCAATAGTAGCTATTGTTGTCCTTCCTCTGTAAGGGCTCGAGTATTCCAGCGAGTCATAATCATAAACCACTGGGAGCTTCGATAATCTGTTGGTGTGAAGTGACGACTGATCTGTGACGTACACGTGGTGAGTCGGTACTTCAATTTTTGTTGGTGAAGAAGTACTTCATGGATTCGTTATAAGATTGATCTAACCCCCGCGCCATTCAAGTAGCACAACGCTTGCGTTGTTTCATAGCTGATGGTCGCTGTTGCGTTCGAGTTGAGAGTGGTACGACTAGCAGAAGTTAGTGAACTTGCCGCATCTAGAGGTCTGCATCATATGCAGCAAAACTGAAGATATTTTCAATGGCCTGCTCGAACAGTATAGAAAAGTCCATGAGACCATGCCATTGACAATAAGTATGGAGAGTGGTGGTATCATGGACACACAATGAGGATCTATGCGGGTGCACGATGGATGCAAATTACCGTGAAGTGGCGTCTGATATGGCCATGAGAAAGTGATGTTATGTTTGGGAGGGTATCCTGCTGTTTAGATACCAAGCTTAGCTGTTAGTATAGATTGGATCAATCTGCATGAGAAGGGCGGCTATGCCACCACCACTCCAAGGTAATATGGCGTAGTACAATCAATCTCTACGAGAGGGGCGGCTATGCCACCACCACTCCAAGGTAATATGGCGTAGTACAATCAATCTCTACGAGAGGGGCGGCTATGCCACCACCACTCCAAGGTAATATGGCGTAGTACAATCAATCTCTACGAGAGGGGCGGCTATGCCACCACCACTCCAAGGTAATATGGCGTAGTACAATCAATCTCTACGAGAGGGGCGGCTATGCCACCACCACTCCAAGGTAATATGGCGTAGTACAATCAATCTCTACGAGAGGGGCGGCTATGCCACCACCACTCCAAGGTAATATGGCGTAGTACAATCAATCTCTACGAGAGGGGCGGCTATGCCACCACCACTCCAAGGTAATATGGCGTAGTACAATCAATCTCTACGAGAGGGGCGGCTATGCCACCACCACTCCAAGGTAATATGGCGTAGTACAATCAATCTCTACGAGAGGGGCGGCTATGCCACCACCACTCCAAGGTAATATGGCGTAGTACAATCAATCTCTACGAGAGGGGCGGCTATGCCACCACCACTCCAAGGTAATATGGCGTAGTACAATCAATCTCTACGAGAGGGGCGGCTATGCCACCACCACTCCAAGGTAATATGGCGTAGTACAATCAATCTCTACGAGAGGGGCGGCTATGCCACCACCACTCCAAGGTAATATGGCGTAGTACAATCAATCTCTACGAGAGGGGCGGCTATGCCACCACCACTCCAAGGTAATATGGCGTAGTACAATCAATCTCTACGAGAGGGGCGGCTATGCCACCACCACTCCAAGGTAATATGGCGTAGTACAATCAATCTCTACGAGAGGGGCGGCTATGCCACCACCACTCCAAGGTAATATGGCGTAGTACAATCAATCTCTACGAGAGGGGCGGCTATGCCACCACCACTCCGGCGGCTATGCCACCACCACTCCAAGGTAATATGGCGTAGTACAATCAATCTCTACGAGAGGGGCGGCTATGCCACCACCACTCCAAGGTAATATGGCGTAGTACAATCAATCTCTACGAGAGGGGCGGCTATGCCACCACCACTCCAAGGTAATATGGCGTAGTACAATCAATCTCTACGAGAGGGG